TCCAAGTTGCCGTGACTGGGTGGACCCTACGAGCACTGACCAGTCGGGCTGAGATAGTTATGGTCCTTGTGGCAATGTATTTTCAATTCCCAAGAGTGGCTGGAGTAATGGGGCTTTGTCTCAGGGGGTTGTGCTCCGGTTGCAACACCCCATATTAGGTGTTTTGATTCGTACCAGCGATGTTTGTTGAATTCCCTGGAGTGCCTCAAGAATGTTGGCGGGGGTAATAGGGACTTACTTTTTCACATATCCGTACAATTTTGTAATTGTTATCAATGTTGCAACGGGGTCAGGCGTGATTTTTGCTAATCAATGTTGTAATACGCTTGAATCGGTATTCCATTGCAAATATAATTGAAAGAATTAGGAATGTTTATGATTTAGTTCCCATTACTCCAGTCAGTCCCGGAAAATCCACACATATCCGTATGAACGAAAAGCCTTCCAAACCCTCGAGCTTCGACCCCAGACCCAAATCCGATCGCTGTATCGGGGGGATAATTAGAAAGTTATTTTCGGTTATTTCGATAAATTTCAGGCAAATTTTAGCCTGTGCTACATAGCTGTTGAAAACTTATTCTAAACCGGACTTAGGGTTCGACCACTTCGTAAATAATTACCGGGGCAAATCAGATCCTTGTAAAGTTCGTTGTCAGTCAAAGTAATGAAGATACGAACAGTTACCCTACGAAGCCCACTCTGTGCTCAGTTTTAGCTTTAACTTTAACTTTAACTTGCAGACCGAGGTGGAAATAGTTGGGGGGGGGGTGAATGATGGGACCCTTCGTTAACCCTCACGAGCCGTGCCCGAAGACCACGCCTAGTCACGGAAACTTAAAATTGTCGAAAACAGATTTGACCGAGTTGGATACATTGGTAAAAGTGCATCACGTACTACAAAGAATTAGCGTAAACGAGAACACTAGACACTCCGTATATGGTAGGAGTAGGTGTCTGGGCACTGTCTATACTCGAAAAAAATATGTAATGTAGTCGTGGTTCATGTTCCGGTTGAGTATTGTCAAAATGAAGACTTGGAATTTCAATCTAAATGAGGTCCCTTTTCGCAGTGCCTAATCGACACCCATATGAAAGTTAGGGGGAAGACCAGACTGTTTAAGTGTAGATATTTATGAATGGCGTTTTTTACCATCTAATGTATACAAAAGTACCATTCATGTATCTCAGATATGCATGAGTGGTGGCTTGCTTATACCACAAATGATCCCCCCCCTAGGTTTGGTTTTGGTTCATATGGCCAGGTTTGTGGGCTGCTCAGAATGCTCAAAGGTTGATTGGAGTAATTGAGACTATTCTGAGGGTGTCAGTTCATAGAAATATTTCAAATTTATCTGAAAATTTGGAAGTAAAGCCTAACTAGGTAACCTGAACATTATTGATGTTTAAATTGTGACCATTCTCTAGTGGAATAAGGGGATTCACAATCTGTGGAACCTCACCCACCCCTCCCCACCCTCCCCACCCCCCAAAAAAAGAATAAATAAATATGAGTAGAGATAGGAATCCAGCAAGCCTTACACTTTTGATTATTTCAGAAAAGAAATAATATATCACACATCATTCAAATCACATCTAGGCCATGAAGCCAATACACTAATTTTCAACTCTGCCTTGCCACAATAAAATATAACAAAGCAAATAATTGTATGCATTTTTTTTGTTAAGATTCTATCTACAAGCTAGTGCAATGATATGGAAATTTACAATTGACTGATTTGCATTATTCCAGAGATCAGTCACGTGGTAAAAAACAGCAACATGCCTCCCCGCAAGAAACCTGCCAAACCAGCCGCAAAGCCAAAAAATGAAGCCGAGGTAGACTCGGACAAGACTGAAGCTGTAGAGAAACTTGCCCTGGATGAGGACTTAGAGGACGAGGAAGATGATGATTATGACCCTGAGGTAAATGGTCATCTTTCAATCACATGTGATTTATCGTTTTTTTTTTTTTTTTTTTTTTTTTTTACATTGTATTTTTAGACCTTTGAGAAATGGAATGTACTTGCATTTGTGTTGGTTGCTTTTGGCACTTGTTACATTTTTAAACCTTTTGCTAGAACTGATGTGTGTTGCATATTTAAAGGCAAAAGGCAGTGACGAGCAATCGGATAATGGAAACGAGGAAGAGGATGAAGAGGAGGAAGCAGATATGGAAGATGAGGAAGATGAAGATGAAGAGATAGATGAAAGTGAGGTAAAAGATGTATTAAATGACAAAGATGGTGTTGAGGATGGGGATGAAGACGATGATGCGGATGAGAATGAAGATGAAGAGGAGGAGGGGGGGGGAGAGGAAGAGGAAGAGGAAGAAGAGGAGGAAGAGGAAGAAAAGCCCAAAGCCAAGTCCAAACCCAAACCTCAGTCCAAACCAGTGCAGTCAAAAAAGCAAGTAGTGAAGGCTGTTGTAAAGAAAAGTGTTGCCAAAGCACCTGTGGAGAGTATTGCAAAAGTTGTTTTAGAAGCAGTTAAGGCAAATGCAGATAGAAAAGGGATTTCCTATGCTGGTATCAAGAAGTACCTAATGGGTAAGGGTTCCACAAACTTCTCTAGCTTTTGAAGTATTTCATGGCATAGATGGCTGGAGCAAGTTTTAGGTTATTAACCATTTTTTCTGCATTGTTAATAACCTTGTGCAGTCCATTTTGTTAAAATGTTTATGTAGACTTTGAGGGTTTTGCATGTGGGTTTTGTATCAAATGCACAATTAACTAAATGATTCTTCAACAGCACAGTACCCAGACCGAGACTGGTCCAAAAAAGGACACTATCTTAAATCTGCTCTTAAGAAGGCAATTGAGGAGGGAACAATCCTAAGAACTAAGACAAGTGCAGAATCGTCTGGAGTACATGGAAGATTCAAGGTGAGAATTATGAACATGATGAATGACTAGATAAATTTTCTTGTTTGTGTAAAAAAATAATTGTACCAAGCATGCCTATTTAGATTTCCTTGTGGATATATGTACATTTATGTGATCAGATCGATTGCAGAATTCCTGTAGAATGGTGCCTTACAATTTGATTGGGTGAATGAATGGATCAGCCTTGAAGTATTAAAGTAGATCAATAGAATCAGAAATATTAATGATGCATTATATAAATTACTCTTTACTGCAATTATTCATTGGATAACCAGTTTCTTGAATATATTCCACTTTCAGTTCAACAGGGAATACAAAACCCTTAACCAGGGTGAGAAGAAACCCAAAGAAGAAAAGAATCCCAAGGCTAAAAAGGAAAGTGCAGCAAAGCCTGATAAAGAGAAGGCAAAGCTTAAAGCAAAAGAAAACACACAGGGAACTAAAACTGGCATTAAAAAGACCACACCCAAAGGAAAGACCAAAGATAAAGCAGCTCCAAACACCAAGAAAAAGGTGCCAAGTGAGAAAGAGAACAAAGTACCCCCCAAAGCCAGTAAGGTGAAACAGACCAAGAGTAATGAGTTGGGGGCCGCCACCAAGGGCAAAGGGGCAGCAGCTAGTGCAACAGGAACCAAGAAACCGGCCAAAAGAACTAATTCTGAGCCGACAAAGGAAGTAAAGACCAAGTCCAAAAAGGGGTCATAAATTATGCAATTTTCAACAGATAAAAATGTACATTTTGGTTTTACTGTATCTGTAAAATATAATCCAAAGTTTTTCTAGGTTTTATTTAGGTGAAGAAAATGAATTATTAATTATTAAATTCTTTGATAAGACTAGTTTCTTGTCCAGAAAGTTTAAAATAAAACTTTTTAGTAAAGCACTTTTTAATTACCTATTTGGGGTGGCTAATTTGAAACCAAATAAACTTCATATTGAAGATAATGCATAGCTGTGTGCAGTAAACTTAAATACAGGTTCTTTCAGGATATCAAACCTTTAACAGCATGGATGAATAATTTCGTTCGACAATATTGGAGAGAGCTAGAGATCACAAGCGCTAACATGCTTCCAAGGTTGGATGCTTAACCCTAACTTGCAGTTCTAGAACTATTAATCATGACAGGTTACGTGACTTTAGTTTTGCCCAAGGCCATGAACTAGAGGGCATTACAGACCTGATGCCTATGAACAGAAGTTTTTCTTGTTTTCCCCAAGTGCTGCTGCCATCTCAGCCCCCTCCCCCTTTGTGTATAGTGAGATGCTTTGAGTACCACAGGATTTTAAAAATTGCTCAAATGACAAATATTTCGTCAAACTAAAATGGTTGAGAAATGAATTTGTGGTGGTTATGAGTGACATGTATACTCCTAATACATCATGCACAATATCATCAATGCTTGTGGAAGGTAAGTTGGCTTTCAGGTAAAAAAAAAATTGTAATTAAAGTAACCATATATACATAAAATTGATTTCCATGGTTTTTATACAAAATTGTCTTTTCAAAGTTTCAGTAAAATTTTTAAAAAAATTACTAGCATCCACAATACAGCAGCAACAATGTTCAAAGACACAACTTGGGATGCGTACAGGGTAATGGCTTTTGAATCCTTGCCAGTCAGTGGGTATCTACTAAAACACATTCATACAGATCATTAAACAGTGGCTCTTAACCCATTCCCACAGAATCATCTTTGACTGGTGGCTGCACAGGCAGGATTATTGGCACCGATAGGCAGTTCCCCTGTTTGCAACAGGCTCATTTGGTAGTTTGTGGATATCAAGCACCTAAAATCTTTAAAAAAACTTTTTAAAAAGATTTAACCTCACTTTACGTGCCAGTGCCATAGTTTAACCATACAATTGTTGCCACTACTAGATAAACAATCCCTGTTCGATAAGCCGATAGCACAGGGCTGGTGAGCTATGGTGCCAAAAATCGGTAGTACCTATTCTTGCCATGACAAATTGTGGACCTAAATGGGCCAGATGGTTTAAGATCTGTCCACATAGGCGAGACTGATCAGTGGGGAACATCGCAGGATAGAATACAAGGAAACTACTTACTGAGTAGTCTGTCTGCCTGTGAGGCCATTTCTGTTTCTGTTCAGTCAAGACTTCTTTAACTCGCCTTTCCATAACTTTTAAGTGGAATTAGAATATAAAGCCTATTTAGATGCTCTTTAAAGCTTTGTACCCGATAATTCAAATCCACTATCTTTGAAGTTTTTGCCTGATTTGTCAATCTGCGAGAATTACAACTTTTACTATCCTCAAGTCAATTGCCTACATGGTGTCAATTTTTTTTTTAATTTAAGCTCGGGAATAGATTGCCTTCAGAAATTTTACCATTTCTTGATAAGTTTAAATTTTTTTTTTTTACTGGTTACATGACTGATTATTCTCATTTCTTTCATAGGTGTTTTGACCTGCACCAATACCTTTTGGTGGTATAATTCTAGAATTTCAGTATGGGTGTATATATGGTTTACCATATTACTATTAATTAATGGGCTTTGAAGGAAGCCAGCACTAAAGATTCTCAATAGAGGTACTAATGAAAATGGTGTATTATCATTATTATTATTACATACAAAATCAAAGGGTACACTTTGCTATCACTAGGTTCAAATATAAAATTACTCAATGGCTCACTTTCTATAAACTCCATTTGTAAATGGAGAGGAAATGCTAATTGTAAACACAACATCCATCCTTATGAAGTCATCTACAATATTATCAAATCATCGTCGTCATCCACTGGGCCAGGTCGCATCTTCTTGGTTGGATTCTGTAAGTCATCCTCAGCCTTCCTCTTCTTGACATAATCATCATCCAGGCACACCAACTCATCATCTGATGCTGCTGTGGTAGATGCTGCAGTATAAAAAAAAAGGAGGATATTTTTAGTATTTTGTCATTTCAATGGACAAGTAGTTTAAAAAAAAAATCATTTTTTCGCCAAGTAATTTTTAAGAGGCCAAAAACTAGATAATAATGAATGAAAGCACTTTCTTGAGAACTAAACCATACCCATAAAGGGCTTCTGCTTTAGATGGGATGCTTTGTATTTTTTTTCTGTAATTATAATGGTCTCATTGGTGTCAATGGATAAGAAAACGTATACATCTAAAGAAGTCGAACATTTTATAAACATTTTAGATGACACTACAAATTTTAAAAACATTTAGAAACAAAGTTTACAATCCAACATGAATCACCAATCACTGACAACCACATGATGGTTTTTGCATATCCAAAGTTATGTAACACCAAATTACATTACCTGGAACATTGTTTGCTGCAGCCGAGGTCTCTCCAACACCATCCTCTTTTGCCTTTTCTTCTTGGGCTTTTTTCAATTCATCAGGATCACCAATAACTTCAAATTCAGCACCTTCCTCTAGCTTCTCACTACCAAGAGAAAAAGAAAAGTATATTTGATGGGTGCTCTCAATCTACCATTAGGCTCAGAGATATATCTAGAATGCTGGAATAATCCTATATGCAAAGATTAACCTTGGAAGCATGCACATTAAAGATTTAGCTTATCCTTACAGACCTGTGAATTACATTAACCACAAGAGTATAATTTTGAAGAAAATCATCGCAGTTCAATCTTGTCCCTTCTTGAATGCCGAAGTCCTGAAGAGAAAATTTTCATATAGCAGTCTTAGAATATGATTGGTAATAGCTAAATATAAGATTATATTCTAATTTTCTAACCTTTTAAATAGCATATCCACAACACAATATATGTTAACTGAAAGTACATGGTTATCAACTCCATTTTGTTTATGGGATACAACCTACCTTTAATAGCTTATCATTATTTGCCTCTGTTTCTCCCTCCTCTGATGAAATGAGGATGGTGCCCTTGCCATCACACAGCTCAACATCTGGTGCAATCATGTTGAGGGCTGACTTCAATATCCGGTCTTCCAAAACTTTGACTGTGACCTTTTCTACATTCAATCGGACCGAAACTTCAGGCAGAACACGTAACATTTAGGATTAGGCTTGTCTAAAACACAGGGTACCAGGAGGCGTTTCTTGGGATTTGGTCTCCTATTTAGGTAAACCTACAAAGAAAACATGAATAAAATGACAAAGGGCAAAGATTTCCACGCAGTATCTTGAATTCATATCCAAATAACAAAATGTGTAACAAAAACTTTATTATGCATCAATTAACTTAACTGGTTTCTTTAAAAAAAATTATTATGGGACCACTCTGCTCTAAAAGTGGGAAGGGAATCATTACCCAAATGTACATTTGATCGGCACATATAACATGGAAGAGAATGCTATCTCTAATGCAGAACTAAATTCCCTATATATAAATTAATACTAAAACAATTAACCAAAAAAAAAGTCATATGTGTACTTACAGTTTTACAGTCTTTGAACCTTCCCTGTAGGATCTTCATAGCTTCTAAAACAATAAGACCCGCAATAATTGCATTTGTGGTGGCAATTGCAGGGATAATATTTCCAGCCATTGCTGAGGAAAGTAATGATCATTAGAATATGTAAATGCTACACTTTATAAAAGAAAAAAGACATCAAAAGACATATGTAAAAATACCTCTTGGAATGTATGATAAAACTATACATGAAGGATTTAATTATTTGCCAAGTACAAAAGTAAATACAAAACTTAATTTCTTCTTTTGGCCATAATTTTCAACAACAAATTCTAAGCATTATGGGTACTCTTTTCAGAATACCTATGGCATTTTCCCAGCACTGCTGTTAATCAGGTTCAACTTTCAGCATTTTTTTTTTTTTTTATCTTTTTTTTTTTTTATAGAAACAAACAAACCAAATACAATGAAAATAACAACTACTTACATTTAACATCAAATCTGGTCTTTTGTGGAATCCCAAAAATGTGAGCCCGGATATTTGCACATGCAGTAACGAAGTCCATACTGTCCTTGTCATCCTTGTCCCAAACCAGGTCGTCACCTTCAGGAAGTCCCTGTATGGAAGGAATGTTCATCAGTTTCTTTTTCTGAATAAAGTATAGCACACCCACTTAACCATATCCCTGAAGGTCTCTGCACTGTCCACCTTTGTTTTTTGCAAATTTTTTACTTGCAGATGGCTCCACATGAGCTCAGCCACCAAGGAGTCAATTAGTAGGGCCTAGTGACCACGCCTGATTTCCCCATACCTTGAGTTTGCGGGAAAATCTGTTTTTCTACCTAGTACTACTAGTATTACTGTTATTATTATCATTGATATTTTAATTATCAAAATGTTACTGAAATACTAATAACACTAAAGACAAGAAGCTTTCCACAAATCATGGCTAAACATTATCACATCCTATCTTACTGTTTTGCACCTTGTCATACATTATCGTCAACTGAAGTTGAGCAATGTTTATCACATTAGAAACTTACTGCAAGACGTTTGTGAAGACTTGCAACTGCAGAAGCCATTACGTCTCGGCACTGAGTTATGGTCCATGGGCGTTGGTCCTGAATCAAACCTTCTCCATCTTCAATAACATCTGGTTAATAAGAAAACAAATCAATGGAACAATTCATAGAAGTTTATTATGCCCTAAACATGATCCCTTGTGTCATTCCAGTATTTGAGCCATTTACAAACAGTAAAAATCACTGATCACAGAATTCTAATAGTATCTGTAAACCACTACATCGCTCAATCAAGGACACTGGCTAAGAGAGGTTTGATAGCTTGCAAATCCATCCAATAACTAAGCGAAAGAAGCCTCCTTACAGCTGTACACATAGAGTGTTGGAAAATTATGTTTCCTGTGCTTATGATTTTGCCCTTAAAATCAGTGACTGCCCATGACATTCAGAAATGGTCCAATTTGGCACATGAAACTCCCGTTGACATTGGGTTGAATCTTTAGTAGTATGATTACCTGCTTCTGGCATATTCTCCCAATTCAATGGTGTCGGCCGTCTTCGCTTTTCCCATAATTTGTCCATAGAGAGGAGGTACTTGATATCATCATCAAAAAGTTTTCCGAAGAGTTTCTGTAAGGAAACAATTTTATTCCAAACTGGTATGCACATACTGAACTTTGTACATACAAGCAAATGCAACACAAAAGAATAAAATATGACTTGGATTCCAATTCAGACAAAGCAAAAAATGTATTGGATAAAAAGAAAGCCAAGTCATTATTTATTCTTCTTCTCTTACTCTAGCTGTGTTCCATTTTATGTTGGGCTTCTAAACACCTTTCTGAACTTCATAAAAGCCTGCTTTCTGCAAGAATATTTACTTGCAAGAAATGCAAAGCCCTAGACTAAGAAATAGCACATACCTTTGCATCATAATTGTGTGAAGATGCCCATGCCCTGGTGGAGACTCTGGAAACATTGCCAGCATCGTTGGCATCTGCTTCCATGGCCGACTGCCCTGCATCTCCCACTTGCTCTGGGTCTGCAGAGTCTGGTGACACATCTTCATCTGGATCTGCCTCACCAAACAGTTGGCTGTTGGTTAGAATATTAATCATTACAAAAGAATCTATAATGTTTTACAGTATTTTCCCTAGTTCCACAAATTATGTCATGGTTTGCATGCAGAAATTATGGTAATCTGATCTATCTATCTATCTGTTTAGCTCTCTAAAGAACATGTACAGTCTAATCATTCAAGACATCCACATAGCTTCCGCATACATGGATGTGGATGTAGATGTAAAAAAGTGATGTAGGAATCCAGTCTACCTGTAACAACTGCTATCAAAATGATGATGATGATAACCAAAATAATATAATGCCCTCCATAATAATAATAATAATTAAAAAGAGAAGTCATAATCTCTAACATTACAGCATTTTATATGTCGTATGAGGTATTACTGCACTAAATATAGGTTGCTGTGTTGTCCAATAATATAATTCATCACACTTGATAAATGCTTTCCCAAAAACATCATTGACCAATTATTCATGGCAATATTTGTTTCATATTCTAAAGGTACAGCAGTTTGACAGCCAGAATCCATTTCTTAAAAGTAATAATAAAAAAATAAAAAAAAAATCCCTCACTGCATTTAAACACTGTACTCAGTATGTTTATTATGTTAAACCATGAACCGGTACTTACTTAAACATGATCAT